CCCAGATTCCTGAGTTGCTGGGATTACAGGCACCTGCCACTACGCCCAGCTATTTTTTTGTGCTTTTAGTAGAGACGGGGTTTCATCCTGTTGGCTAGACTGGTCTCAAACTCCTGACCTCGCCATCTGCCCGCCTCGGCCTCCCAAAGGGCTGGGATTATAGGCGTGAGCCACTGCGCCTGGCCAGGATATTTTTATAGCAGGACTGGAAAGATAATTCAGCCTTTCCTCTACCATGATTGATCAAAATTAGTTTTTTATTAGTGGTAGTTTAGGAATTATTTTCCTCCAGCTTTGCAATTCATCGTTGGTAAGATTATTTAACTCTTAATGATTTTTGTTACATTTGGAGCAACTGCTATAAAATATCTTACATATGTGAGCTGTGTATTTGGAAGGATTTTCCACACACTATTTCTGGCTTCGTGCATTTCAAATTTTATTTCTCTTACAATGCCCTTGTACTCCTGGGGCTGGGCATCATATCATCTCTGATTCAGCACCTTCAGAGCACAGCACTCAGGAAGACAGCAGAGTGGCATCAGGAATATTCTCGAATGCCACCTGGAGCACCTAGCAATAATATAACTGTACCCGCAAGGGCCAGAATCCCATAAATATACTCACCCCCAGCCCTAAACCCAAATCAGCCTCTCCCTAGCCGGATTTCAAAACACCTGTGGCCACCTGATATAAAGTGAGGTGTGATGAAGGACAGTTTGGGAGTGGAAAGAGAAAAAAGTCTGAACTAACTATGGTTAAAATATCTTATGTTTGCAAAAGTTTTATTTTAATATTTTATTTTATTTTAATTAACTTATTTTTATTTTTTTGAGACAGAGCCTCACTCTGTCACCCAGGCTGGAGTGCAATGGCGCAACCTCGGCTCACTGCAACCTCTGCCTCCTGGGTTCAATTCTCCTGCCTTCAAGCAATTCTCCTGCCTCAGCCTCCCAAGTAGCTGGGAATCCACACGCACACCCCTACACCTGCTAATTTTTGTATTTTTAGTAGAGATGGGGTTTTACCACATTGGCCAGGCTTGTCTCAAACTCCTGACCTCAGGTGATCTGCTCGTCTCGGCCTCCCAAAGTGCTGGGTTTACATGTGTGAGCCACCGCACATGGCCTATTTTTATTTTTTAAATTTTTGATTTAATTAATTAATTAATTATTTTGAGACAGAATCTTGCTCTGTCTCCCAGGCTGGAGTGTAATGGTGCTATCTTGGCTCACTGCAACCTCTGCCTCCTGTGTTCAAGTGATTCTTCTGCCTCAGCCTCCCAAGTAGCTGGGATTACAGGCACTACAGCACCTGCCACCACACCCAGTTAAATTTTTTTTTTTTTTTTTTTTTTTTTTTTTGAGACGGAGTCTCATTCTATCACCCAGGTTGGAGTGCAATGGCCCAGTCTCAGCTCACTGCAACCTCCGCCTCCCGGGTTCAAGCAATTATCCTGCCTCAGCCTCCCAAGTAGCTGGGATTACAGGCACCGACCACCATGCCTGGCTAATTTTTGTATTTTTAGTAGAGACAAGGTTTCATCATGTTGGTCAGGGTGGTCTCGAACTCCTGACCTCAGGCAATCTGCCTGCCTTGGCTTCCCAAAGTTCTGGGATTACAGGCGTGAGCCACCGTGCCCGGCCATGCCCAGCTGATTTTTGTATTTTTAGTAGAGATGGGGTTTCACCAGGTTGGCCAGGCTGGTCTTGAATTCCTGACCTCAAGTGATCCACCCACTTTGGCCTTCCCAAAGTCCTGGGATTACAGGAGTGAGCCACCACTCCTGACCCTATTTTTATTTTTAAAAAATTTTAATTGGCTTGAGGCACACTATCAAGAGGTCCTGAGAACATGTACCCCTTATGTTTGCAAAATTTAAAAAAATTATGGCAAGAAAATACATAACAAAACTTAACTATCTGAACCATTTTTTTTTTTGAGATAGGGTCTGCTCTGTTGCCTAGGTTGGAGTGCAGTGTCATGATCATAGCTCACTGTAACCTCAAGCTTCCGGGCTCAAGTGATCCTTCTTCCTTAGCCTCCTGAGTAACTGTAGTACAGCTAGGAGTATAGGCACCACCTAATTTTTAAATTTTAACTTTAATTTTTTGTAGAGACAGGGTTTCGCTATGTTGCCCAGGTTGGTCTTTTTTTGTTTTTTTTTTTTATTTAGAGACGGAGTCTCGCTGTGTCGCCCAGGCTGGAGTGCAGTGGTGCGATCTCGGCTCACTGCAAGCTCCGCCTCCCGGGTTCACGCCATTCTCCCGCCTCAGCCTCCGAGTAGCTGGGACTACAGGCGCCCGCCACCACGCCCGGCTAGTTTTTTGTATTTTTAGTAGAGACGGGGTTTCACCATGTTAGCCAGGATGGTCTCGATCTCCTGACCTCGTGATCCACCCGCCTCGGCCTCCCAAAGTGCTGGGATTACAGGCTTGAGCCACCGCGCCCGGCCTTGTTTTTGTTTTTGAGATGGAGTCTCACTCTGTCGCCCAGGCTGGAGTGCAGTGGCTCGATCTTGGCTCACTGCAACCTCTGCCTCCTGGGTTCAAGGGATTCTCCTGCCTCAGCCTCCTGAGTAGCTGGGATTACAGCCGGGCACGGTGGCTCACGCCTGTAATCCCAGCACTTTGGGAGGCCGAGGCGGGTGGATCACGAAGTTAGGAGATCGAGACCATCCTGGCTAACACGGTGAAACTCCGACTCTACTAAAAAATACACAAAATTAGCCGGGCATGGTGGTACGTGCCTGTAGTCCCAGCTACTCGGGAGGCTGAGGCAGGAGAATGGCGTGAACCCAGGAGGTGGAGCTTGCAGTGAGCCGAGATGGTGCCACTGCACTCCAGCCTGGGCGACAAAGCGAGACTCCGTCTCACAAAAAAAAAAAAAAAAAAAAAAAAAAAAGCTGGGATTACAGGTGCGTGCCACCACACCTGGCTAATTTTTGTATTTTTTGTCAAGGCTGGGCTTCACCATGTTGGCCAGGCTGCTGTCAAACTCCTGACCTCAGGTGACCTGCCTGCCTTGGCTTCCCAAAGTGCTGGGATTACAGGCCCAGGTTGGTCTTGAACTCCTGGTTTCAAGTGATCCTCTCGCCTCAGTCTCCCAAAGTGTTGAGATTAAAGGTGTGAGCCTTGCACCTGGCTTGTCTTAGCCATTCTAAGTGTACAGTTCAGTAGTGTTAAGTATTTTCACATTACTGTGCAACAGATCTCTAAAACATTTTCATCTTGCAAAACCGAAAGTTTATAACCATTCTTACTTTTGCAAATTTTATAAAAACATATAATCCCAGCCAGGCGTGGCGGCTCACTCCTGTAATCCCAGCACTCTGGGACGCCAAGGTGGGCGAATCACCTGAGGTCCAGAGTTCGAGACCAGCCTGACCAACATGATGAAACCCCGTCTCTACTAAAAATAAAAAATTAGCTGGGTGTGGTGGCACGCGCCTGTACTCCCAGCTACTCAGGAAGCTGAGGCAGGAGAATCTCTTGAACCCGGGAAGCGGAGGTTGCAGTGAGCTGATATTGTGCCACCGTACTCCAGCCTGGGAGGTAGGAGTGAGCTGATATCACACCACTGCACTCCAGCCTGGGAGGTTGAAGTGAGCTGAGATCATGCCACTGCATTCCAGCCTGGGTGACAGAGTGAGACTCCATCTCAAAAAACAAACAAACAAACAAACAAAACATGTAATCCCAATCAAGTGATGAGTTCTAAAGTTTAAACTTCAGTGGGCTTCATGATAAATTCATTCTTGCTGAGGGAAGATTTGAGTCTTCTTGGAGTCCCCCAGGGGCACAGATTTGGACATCATACACTGTAGGAAATCAAGGTTGCATCAAATGACCGCTCCAGGAGGGAGAGCTGTTAGGGAATAATAGGTCCAGAGGTGTTTTTTGTTTTGTTTTGTTTTGTTTTTTACTTTATCGCCCAGGTTGGAGTGCAGTGGTGCAATCTCGGCTCACTGCAACCTCCGCCTCCTGGGTTCAAGTGATTCTTGTGCCTCAGCCTCCTGAGTAGCTGGGATTACTGGCATGTGCCACAACACCCGGCTGATATTTGTATTTATAGTAGAGATGGGGTTTCACCATGTTGGCTAGGCTGGTCTCGAATGCCCAACCTCAGCTGATCCACCTGCCTTGGCCTCCCAAAGTGATGGGATTATAGGTGTGAGCCACTGTGCCCGGCCAGGTCCAGAGGTTTTAACCTTCTCATGGATTCCTGGGATTTTGAGGTGGTGTCTCAGGCACTGCCAATTTGGGCTGCTTAGCTCCTTCCCTCGCCCACACTTGAAACCTCTGTTTAAATAATAATGATGACATTAATGATCATCATTCAAGCTGACATACATTGGATACTTTACTACATGATAGACACTATTCCAAGTACCCCACTTGTATTAAGTTACTTCTTTTTTTTTTTTTTTTTTTTTGAGATGAAGTCTCACTCTGTTGCCCAAGCTGGAGTGCAATGGCACAATCTCGGCTCACTGCAACCTCTGCCTCCCAGATTCAAGCAATTCTCCTGTCTCAGCCTCCCGAGTAGCTGGGACTATAGGCACGTGCCACCATGCCCAGCTAATTTTTTTTTTTTTTGTATTTTTAGTAGAGATGGGGTTTCACTATGTTGGCCAGGCTGGCCTTGAGCTCCTGACCTTGTGATCCACCCACCTCGGCCTCCCAAAGTGCTGGGCTACCATGCTGGGCCAAGTTACTTAATTCTTACAATGTAAGTATGTGGTTGGAATTATCATTATCCCATTTTCCAGAGAAGGATGTCAGGGTTCGAAAAGCTTCAGTTTTTAGATTAAGGTTCCTTGTAAGATACCTTTTGAAAAAAAATTGTTCTACTAATAACACGTTTTGAAAAAGTCTGAATTAGTCCAGGGTATTAATTTTACACATGGGGAAGTAAAATCCAGAAAAAGGGGTCATTTGTTTAATGTCACACACTTATTCCTTCATTATTTCCTGGGTGCCTACCTTGTGCCAGTGACTGTGCTATGACATAGGGGTTCAGAGGTAAACAAGATACTCATGGAATATAATTTTAGTGGAGCAAAATAATTCCAGAGAGTGCTGGGATGATACATTTGAGATGTGACTGAGTGACAAGGAGAGAGAGAGTGTTAATTTAGATGGAGAGGTGGTCAGAAGAGTGTGGTCTGTGGAGGTGTCATATGAGCCACAAACTGATGACCTGAAGAAGTCAACCGTGCACTGCTATGGGGGTTAGTAATAGAGCAGACTCCTGGTCCAGTACTCCTTTGCTGCCTGCTGCTCTCTAGGCCCTCGGAGAGGCTCCTTTGGTGTCCTGGACCTCCCTGAAGCTCAGTCCCTAAGGTGACAACTGATCTAGGAAGGTAGCACATCTGGCTTCCTGCAGGTCCTCCTCCCAGAAGTCCTGTGGCTGAACCGGATCTGAGTTTCCTGGTTCCTGTCTGGCAGAAGGGGAGCAGATCTCCTCCCTGCCTCCTCTCCCCAGGCTCTAGCCCTGGCCCCAAATCTCCATGGCAACCCCCGGACACAGTTCTGAACCAAAGGAGGAGCATCTGGAAGGCGGAGCACAAAGATCATACTGAAGAGACCAGGGGGCTGGAGGACTTGTCTCCTTCTTCTCCTTGTGTCCCACCAGCCTCCCTGCTGGCCTGACCAGGCCCCATATCCCAGTCTCCCCAGAAACCCCAAGCTGAAGATTCTGTGGGTCTGCCCCATTGCTGGGCACAGCAGAGCCTGGATGGAGGCTTGTCTTCTGCAGTTGCCCCAAAGGTTGCTCTTGCTGGGGGCAGCCGCCCTGACTGCAACTGCTTTGGAGACAGGTAAGTATGAGGGGGCTTGGTTGGGGTACCCAGAAGACTTGGGCTCCCACCATCCTTAGAGACTATGTCTCCCCAGTCAGCACTCGTCTTGCTGGGCTGAGACCTTTTGAGTTGGAGGAGGCTGGGAAACTGTGTCTGGTCTTGCTTAGCATCTCCAAGTCCAACCCTAAGCCTTCTGGAAGGGCTAGACCTCCCAGTCACCTAGAAGCAGGAGTCTGGGAGCGGGCAGGACAGCCTCAGGGCCTGCTTTGCAAAACTCTGTAGGCTTTGGATTCAGAGAAGCTGCATTTACACACTCTGCCACTTCTTCTGTTTGTACCTTTGAGATCATTGTTTCAACTCTCTGTCTGAATTTCTTTGGCAGTAAAATGAAAATAATAGGCCCTTGCCCCTTAAAGGCAATGATTATTGTGCATATAAGATGAGATAAGCCATGCAAGACACTTCATAATGCCTGGCACATAAAAGGTGCCCAATTCCTGGCTGGGCATGGTGGGCTGACGCCTGTAATCCCAGCACTTTGTGATGCTGGGGTGGGCGGATCAGGAGGTCAGGAGTTCAAGACCAGCCTGGCCAACATGGTAAAACCCCATCTCTACTAAAAACACAAAAATTAGCTGGGCATGGTGGCATCTGCCTGTAATCCCAGCTACTTGGGAGGCTGAGGCAGGAGAATCGCTTGAACCAGGGAGTCGGAGGCTGCAGTGAGCCGAGATTGCACCACTGCACTCCAGCCTGGCAACAGAGAGAGACTTCGTCTCAAAAAAAAAAAAAAAAAAAAAAAAAAAGGGGTGCCCAATTCGCTTACTTTCTAAACTCCATGCCTGCTCTGTGTACCTTCAGGGTAGGCTCTGGCTTTAGCAGAGAAATACCAAATATTGGAAAGTGCTTCACGTCCTGAGCTCTGATGAAGGATTTTTTTCCTCAAAGACCCTCATCCTGACTGGTCCTCAAGCACCCACTAGTCTCTATCTTGCACCAGAAAACCCACCTACTCTTTTCTCTCTGTCCTTACAGAAATCAGAGCTACTTTGAGTACTTACACATCATCCCATTTAATCCTCACAACTCTGTACCAGTGAGGATATTTTGGGCTGTAAGTAACAGACAACAAACTAAATAGGGCTTAAATGGTAGGATATTTGCTGTTTCACTTAAGAGTGGTCATAGGTAATTCCAGAGATGGTTAACTCAACGGCTCAACAATGTCACTGTTCCTCTGAAATGCTCTGACCTCATCTTTGCAAGATGGCTGCTGCACCTCTGGACATCCCATCCTCATCCTCAGTCAGCAACTTTCAAAAGCAGGAAGAAAAGGGGCTCCTTATCACACAGCTCTCCTTTTTTCCTTTCTTTTTTTTTGTGACGGAGTCTTGCTGTGTTGCCCAGGCTGGAGTGCAGTGGCTTGATCTCGGCTCGCTGCAACCTCTGCCGCCCGAGTTCAAGAAATTCTCCTGCCTGGCGTGAACCTGGGAGGCGGAGCTTGCAGTGAGCTGAGATCTGGCCACTGCACTCCAGCCTGGGCGACAGAGCGAGACTCCGTCTCAAAAAAAAAAAAAAGAAAAAAAAAGAAATTCTCCTGCCTCAGCCTCTCAAATAGTTGGGATTACAGGTGTGTGCCACCACGCCCGGCTAATTTTTTGTAGAGACGGGGTTTCACCATGTTGGCCAGGCTGGTCTCAAACTCCTGACCTCAGGTGATCCACCTGCCTTGGCCTCCAAAGTGCTGGGATTACTGGCGTGAGCCACCGTACTCGGCCCCGCATCTTAGGGTTTTGAATAAGGGATTGTAGATTTAAATTAAATTAAATTAAATCATTTAGTCCTCACAATCATTCTGAGATTGCTTAATCATCCCCATCTTACCGATAAGGAAACTGAGGCTCAGAGAGGGCGAGTGGATCACACAGCGGGCAGGGGGCAGAGTCGAGTTCGGGGTCGCGCCGCGCGGCTCCAGGGTCCGTGCCTTCCGCTGCAGCCGACCTGGCGGACCTGTGCGGGCAGACGTGGCAGGGGGACGGGCTGCTGCTGCGCTCGCATGCCGCCTCGCTCAGGTTCTACTTCGTGGCTCCGGACACGGACTGCTGGCTCTGGATGCAGGCGGCGGCCCCCGGCGACCGGATCCGATTCCAGTTCCGCTTCTTCCTGGTCTACAGCCTGACCCCCGCGCCCCCGGCGCTCAACACCTCCTCCTCGGCCCCGGCCGGCCCGTGCGCCCCCGGCTCCTACCTGCAGTTCTACGAGGGCCCGCCGGGGGCGCCCCGGCCGCTGGGGTCCGCCCTCTGCGGCCTGACCATCCCGGTCCCCGTGGCATCCTCCGGCCCCTTCCTAGGCTTGCGCCTTGTCACGAGAGGCCGCCAGCCCCGCGTGGACTTCGTGGGCGAAGGCACCTCTTTCCGTCTGGGTGAGCTGGGGCTGAAGGCCGGGACGGGGCCCTATGCAGAGGCCATGCGGGACTGGGGCCACAGTGGGGGCCCCGGGGAGGGCTGCTGCCGACAGGGGAATGGCGCGGGCTCCCAGAGCACAAGATGGCAGGGACTGGGTCCAAAGGGAGGGAAGAATGTGGTGGCTAGTGGCAGGGTCACAATAAGGGACCTCCTGGATCTTAAGAGTCAACCATATAAATCTGGCTACCGTGGATGTGTGTGCCAGACTGTCCTACCAGCCCCAGTGCACACACACATACACACACACTCACACACAACTTCCTCCCCACACACATTCACACACAACTCCCACACATGTACACACCTCACACTCTGACATCCACACACACGACACATACACACAACCCATGCACCTCATCGCCCCCACACACTCCACACTCCTGCCTTTCACTCACTGCAGCACACGCCTCACAGTGCACACTCACCATTATCACACACCTCATATGCACACAGTACCACCTTGCACGCTTACACACAGCTCCCACGCTCTCATGCCACATGCTGGCTGCTCCGCGCTGGGTCAGCCCTTCAGATGTTTGAGAAGGGTGTGGTCAGGACTCTCCAGGCCTGTAGGCAGCAGAAACCAACTTAAGCCAGGAAAGGGGCCTCTTGGAACTGCAATTAATAATACTCACCCGACTGGGCGCCCTGGCTTACACCTGTAATCCCAGCACTTTGGGAGGCCAAGGCATGAGGATCACTTGAGTTCAGGAGTTCAAGGCCAGCCTGGGTGACAGAGAGAGACCTGCCTAAAACAACAACAACAAATTTTTAAAATATAATAATTTAAAAATAATACAATTAATAACAGTACTTGCCCCATAAGGGTATTGTGGGGCCTCAATGGGCCAGGATGTGAAGTATTTACAGCTGTGCCTGGCACAGAAGAGGAAGTCAGTACGTGTTAGCTGCTGTCCTCCACCCTTCTCCCCCTGAAACACTCATCCATGCTCTCATCCACATCCTCAACAGCAGCTATCTCCTGCTCACACCCCCACACTGTCACCATGGGACCACACACCCTGCTGTGTCATGGGCCAGACCAGGATCCTCACCTCAGGCTTCCGCTTCTGGCCTCAGGACCTTGTGGTGCCTACTTCCGCTGCCGGAATGGCAGGTGCATCCCCTCAAGCCTCGTGTGTGACCCCTGGGGCATGGACAACTGTGGCGACGGCAGTGACCAGGGCTCCTGGTCACCAGCTGACTGCAGAGGTCAGTGCGGGGTACGGACTGGGCCCTACCGAACAGCTGGAAGGAAGCCTGACCGGCTGTAACTCCCCTTCCCTAGGGCAGGGCCCGGGTCGGGAGGCAGGAGAGAGGAAAGCTGAAGTGTGGAATCGGCTTAGGCCAAGGGCTGGAGGGGCAGAGCAGTCAGGCAGAGAGCTACGCTGCAGATGTATCTCATCCGGCAGATTCCAAATGATGCTTTAGTGGTGGAAACTTTTGCTAAATGGGACCTGGCACGGAGGCCCAAGACATTCAAAGGAGATATCCTCTGCTTAACTGGATGGTGGTCCTGGGGCTCTGGCTGCCTGATGTCTCTCTGAGGGCCCTGAGTGTCACCCTCAAGACATAATTTGAAAAGCATCAATCCAGTCTGACTCCCACACTTTACAGATCGGGAAACTGAGGCCTAGAGAGAAGTGACTTGACCAAGGTCATAAAGCCAGTGAGTAAAATGAGCAGGAATGATCTCTGTAGACAGGGGAGTGGGATAGGAGGGCTAGGGTTGGTGGAAGGGACCAGACTAAATCACCCAGGAATAACCTTCCTGGGGATCTGGAGATGTTCCACCTGCCCACCACACCCAATTAGGAGTGGGATGGAGGTAGGACTGCCAGGTACAGTTGAACAGGGGTGAAATGCAGTTTCCCAGAACCCCGCATACTTAGCTTCCCCATCCCCCGCTCAGTCATCTTTGCAGGTTCCTGGTCATTTCCCTGATGCTCTCTGCTTTGTGCCATGAGACCCAGGTCCTATGTCCCGTTGTCCTCCATCCAGGCTCATTCCCTTGTGGATCTCATTTATATTGTATCACCAGCGGGACTTGTCTTTGAACTTCAGCTACATAACCTTCTCCCTGCTCAGCATCTCTGCGTGGATGTATAGGCGAAATCTCAAACTTAACTTGCCCCACACTGGACTCCTGGTCCACAGCCCTCCCTGCATCCTGCTTCCCTCTCACTGAGCAGCAGCTTCACATTCCAGATGCCCAGGCCTCACACTGAGTCATCTTTTACTCCCCACTTAACCCATAGCCTATAACCCATAACCAAGCCAGTGACAAGTCCTTCGAAAGCTCTCCAGACTCTGACCCTTCTCACACCTGCTCTGCCATCACCTGGTTTGAGCCACCACCAGTTCTCGTCTGGGTTGTTCTAATAACCTCTGAACTGGTCTCCCTCCTTCTGTCCTTTGCCTCTGACAGCATGTTCTTCCCGTAGAAGCCTGGGGAAGGCTTCTTTTTCTTTTTCTTTCAAATGAACTTGTTTATTTATTTATTTATTGTTTTGAGATAGGGTCTCATTCTGTTATCCAGGCTGGAGTACCGTGGCGCCATCTCGGCTCACTGCAACCTCTGCTTCCTGGGCTCAGGTGTTCCTCCCACCTCAGCCTCCAGAGCAGCTGGGACTACACTGTGCGCTGCCATGCCCAGCTAATTTTTGTGGGTTTTTTTTTTTTTAATTCTTTTTTTTGAGACAGAGTCTCGCTCCGTCACCCAGGCTGGAGTGCAGTGGCCAGATCTCGGCTCACAGCAAGCTCCGCCTCCCGGGTTCACGCCATTCTCCTGCCTTAGCCTCCCTAGTAGCTGGGACTACAGACGCCCGCCACCTCGCCCGGCTAATTTTTTGTATTTTTTAGTAGAGAGAGGGTTTCACCGTGTTAGCCAGGATGGTCTCGATCTCCTGACCTCGTGATCTGCCCGTCTCGGCCTCCCAAAGTGCTGGGATTACAGGCTTGAGCCACCGTGCGCGGCCAATTTTTGTGTTTTTTGTAGAGATGAGGTCTCACTATATTGCAAGGGCTAGTCTCGAACTCCTGGGCTCAAGTGATCTTCCCGCCTTGGCCTCCCAAAGTGCTGGGATTGCGTGAACTTCATTTCTCAGGGCAGTGTTAGATTTACAAAAAAATTGAGAAGATAGTACAGAAAATTCTCATATACCCAGCACTCAGTTTGGGTGCTATTATTGACGTTTTACATTAGTATGAGACATTTGTTTTAATTAATGAAGCAATATTAACTAAAGTCCACAGTTTATTCAGTTTTCCCTAGTTTTTGCCTAATATCCTTTTTCTGTTCCAGGATCCCATTCAGCATCTCATGTTACACTTATTTATTTATTTATTTTATTACTTCTTTTTCGGATAGAGTCTTGCTGTGTTGCCTAGGCTAGATAGACTTCAGTGGCATGATCTCAGCTGAGTGCAACCTCCGCCTCCCGAGTTCAGCAATTCTCCTGCCTCAGCCTCCCGTGTAGCTGGGATTACAGGTGCACACCACCACGCCCAGCTAATTTTTGTATTTTTAATAGAGACGGGGTTTCGCCATGTTGGCCAAGCTGGTCTAACTCCTGACCTCAAGTGATCCACCCACCTTGGCCTCCCAAAGTGCTGGGATTACAGGCGTGAGCCTCCGTGCCCAGCCTCATGTTATGTTCATTAATAGTCATCATGCCTCTTTAGGCTCCCCTTGGCAGTAGCAGTTTCTCAGGATTTCCTTGTTTTTGATGACCTTGACAATTGTGAGTACTGCTCAGGGATTTTGTAGGATGCCCCACTATTGGGATTTATTTGGTACTTTTCTCATAATAAGACTGGAGTTGCAGTTCACAGAAGTGAAATGCCATCTTTATCACATCATATCAAAGTCCCAGCTACTCGGGAGGCTGAGGCAGGAGAATGGCATGAACCCGGGAGGCGGAGCTTGCAGTGAGCTGAGATCCGGCCACTGCACTCCAGCCTGGGCGACAGAGCAAGACTCCGTCTCAAAAAAAAAAAAAAAAAAAAAAAAAAAAAGGCACACACACCCAACGTGACTTTGGTGTTGGGTGGTGATTGACGCTGACCTTGACCGCCTGGCTGAAGTTGTGTCTGCTTGATTTCTCCACTGTTACTTTTGGCCCCATCTTTCCCCACTGTATTCTTGGGAAGTCACTATGTGTAGCCCACTTGAGTGGGGAGTTATGCTTCCCCGCCAGAGGAACCTTTTAAAGCAGTAAATCAGGTTATGTCACTCTCCTGCTCAAAACCCTCATCTCGCTCAGCCAAGGCAAAGCCTCCCTCGGGGCTGGAAAGCCCTGCACGATCTGGCCCTGCCCCTTATTTCCTGGCCCCGCCTCTTCTTTCCCGACCCTGCCTCCTCCCTGGCCCCACCTCCTCCCTGGCCCTGCCTCCCCTCCGCACTCCAGCCTTGTTCTGCCTTTGTAGTAGCTGTGTCCTCTACCAGACTTTTCTTCTGAGATCTGCATTGCAAGCTCATTCCTTTGCTTCCCGGTGGGTCTCTAGTTAAGTTCTTCCCTGACTCCTTTATATAAAAATAGCAACCCTGGCCAAGTGCAGTGGCTTCCGCCTGTAATCCCAGCACTTTGGGAGGCCAAGACGGGCGGATCACCTGTAGTCGGGAGTTAGAGACCAGCCTGACCAACATGGAGAAACCCCGTTTGTACTAAAAATACAAAATTAGCCGGGCGTGGTGGCACATGCCTGTAGTCCCAGCCACTCGGGAGGCTGAGGTAGGAGAATCGCTTGAACCCAGGAGGCATAGGTTTTGGTGAGCCAAGATTACTCCATTGCACTCCAGCCTGGGCAACAAGAGCAAAACTCTTCCTCAAAAAAAAAAAAAAAAAAAAAGAAGTTATATTATTAATAACTGTTAATATATTATATTCTAATATGCATATTAGAATAGTCAGAATCACAGAGACAGGAAGTAGAGCCATGGTCACCAGGGGCTGGGGAGGTGGGGACAAGGAGGATATGGAGTTAATGGAATTGATGGAGTTTCAGTTCAGGCAGATGCAAAGTTCTGGAGATGGACGGCGGTGATGGCTGCCCAGTGTGAATGTGTATTAGTCCGTCCTCGCATTGCTATAAAAAAACACCGGAGACTGGGTAATTTATAAAGAAAAGAGGTTTAATTGTCTCACAGTTCTGCAGGTTGTACAGGAAGCATGATGCAGGCATCTGCTCAGCATCTGGAGATGCCTCAGGAAACTTACAATCTTGGAAGAAGGCGAGGGGAGCAGGTGCAGCCAGTGTAGGAGAGACAGAGTGGGGAGGCACTGCACACTTTAAACAACCAGATCTTGCAAGAACTCCCTATCATGAGAACAGCACCAAGGGGTTGGTGCTAAACTATTCATGAGAAATCCACCTCCATGATCCAATCACCTCCCACCAGGCCCCACCTCCAACACTGGGAATTACAATTTGACCTGTGATTAGGGTGGGAACACAGATCCAAACCCTATCAGAATATATTTAATGCCACTGAACTGTACCCCTAACCATGGTTAAATGGTAAATGTTATGTGCTTTGCCACAGTAAGAAAAGCAGCAGCCCTGCCCCCACCAACATGAGTAATTTTTCTCACTAGCACGTCTCCTTGGGACCGAAATTCTATTCACGTGTTTTGTTTCTCCCCACACTAAACTCCCAGTTCCATGAAGACATATTTGTCATGTGCTTATGGTTGTATCCCCCAGTTGCTAGAGCCATGCCTGGGGCATAGGAGATGCTCAAGGAATACTAGTCAAATGAATGGAAGAATGAACCTCTATGGCTCAGTTTCCTTATCCGTGAAATGAGGATAAACCTCACCCTTCAGAGTTGTCGTAAACTGTAAGCTGCATACATAGGTAAAGGGCCCAGCACAGAGTGTGGTGCTTGATGTACAGAAAATGCTCATGGCTGGGCACGGTGGCTCACGCCTGTAATCCCAGCATTTTGGGAGGCTAAGGCAGGTGGATCGCTTGAGCTCAGGAGATCCTGTCTCTACAAAAAATTAAAAAATTAGCCAGGTGTGGTGGCACGTGCTGGTAGTCCCAGCTACTCGGGAGGCTGAGCTAGGAGGATCGCTTGAGCCTGGGAGGCAGAAGTTGCAGTGAGTGGTGACTGCGCCACTGGATTCCAGCCTGGGCGACAGAGTGAGACCCTGCCTCAATGCTCAGTACATGTACATCCTCTTCCTTGAGAAGTAGCTCCACTCATAGACCGTAGGCCCTGGAGCCAGACCGTGTGAATTCAAGTCCTCCTATCACTTCCAGCTAAGTGACCTTGGCAAGTGACAACCTCTCTGTAAAATGGAAACACAAAGAGTGACAAACTAGGGAAGTCTTGTGAGGACTGAATGAAACACGCAAGTGCCCCAGAAAGGGCAGTTCTCAGTGCTAGTTCTGTTCTTTCCCATGTAGGTCCCTCTCCGGTGGCCAGCGAGACAGGAAGTACAGACGACCACACCTCCAGCTCTCCGACTCCCTCTCCAGCTCTTGGGTCCGCAGGATCCCTCCGGATTGCAGCTGAGAGGAGTCCCCCAGCAGGCAGGGACCCCACGAGACAGGACGCAGCTTTGGAAGGTTACACCCTGCTCCTACTCTCCCCACCAAAATCACACCTGTCCCTCTCCAGGTGATGGAGACAGGGGCAGTGGGCCCAGGCCAAGGCCTGAGTGGACTTTCTCCTCCCACAGGCCCCCAGCTCCGAGGGGTGGCGCTGGCCTTCTCGATGCTCCTGGCTTCTGCTGGCCTCCTCATGGGCCTCCTCTGGTGCTGGTGCTCTCCTAGCTGGCTGGCCTGGCAACCTGGCGCCTGTGGCCTCTGTCTCCACTGCAGCACATCTGCCATTTGCTACCCATGTCCCAGCCAGGTCTCCCCAGGGGGCTGCAGCTGAGTGGCCCAGCCTTCCAGGGTCAGGGAGGCCATCCCTAGAGGGCTTTGGGCACATAGGAATGAGACTAGGCTCTGGGGTCAGACAGACTCTTCGGGTTCTAACCTGGCTCTGTGTCTGATGTTGGACAGGCCTCTTGACCCTCTGAGACTCAGCTGCCCCTCCAGAAAATAGGATGATTCCTGCCTCACAGGGTTGGGGGTCTGGGAGCCTCACTGATCCAAAAACACCTTGCTTCACCCCCAGATCTCACCTGCCCCGCTCTGCCCCACCCACAGACTCCACTGAGTGAAGCCCTCATCAAAGACACGGGAGGCCCCTGGCGGGGATAGCACCGTTTATTAAGAAAAATCAAGACAAAGACCACAGGAGGGTCCCTTCTAGGACACAGAGGCCAGGCGTCCCAACCCCACAGTCTGGGAGCCACTGGCAGGATGGCACTCGAGCTGGATCTTCAGGCTCCCGCAGATGGGGCAGGGTGGTCGGTGGTCATATCCCCCTCCTCTCTCTCCCAGTTGTGAGTTCTGCTTTCCCCCACCCAAGGCACTAGCTCTTCCTGGGCACCAGCGGCATCTGAGGAGTCCCTGGGCCTTCGCTTCCAGATGAGTGGGGATGTGGCCTGGGGTGGGCAAGGCCCGGTGGGCGGGGCCCTCTCAGTGCTGGGCTCTGCCTGTAGCAGCTCCTGGTAAGAGTTGGGGTGGGTTTTCCCTTACAGCCCCTGAGGGAGGAGCCCCGGGCTGTGTGCTGGCAGAAGGGGGTGGGAATGCAGGCCAGGAGGAGGGCGTGGTAGGAAGGGGAGGCTGCCAGAGGAGGTGCCAGGGGCTGGGTGGAGGTGGGTGGGGGTGCTGAAAAACGAGCTAGTAGGGATGGGGACCGCCTGCCCAGCGGTGAGCTGCCTTTTGCTCCACAGCCGGCACTAAAGACAATTTCCAATCCTGAGTGGGTGGCAGAGGTTCCTGCGATGCCCGTCTCAGGTAGCTGTGGGGCACCAGCCTACAAGCCGAGGTTGGCTCTCGGAGTGAGAACTGCCCAAGGGCTGCAGAAACAGGCCACCCAGCTCTATCTTGGGGGCTCCATTGGTGGGTAGGGGGAGAGTGGGGGCAGTTCTGGGCCCACCCAGCCACCGTTCCTGACCCCAAGTCCTGGTGGCTTTCTGAGGCGCCTACTCCCATCAAACCTGCCTTGCCCGCCAGCCTTGTGGCTTTGCCCAGCTGTGTGGGTGGGGGTGGCGTGCCCACCTCCAGTCCAGCCCAGGGCGGTAGCAGCAAAGCGTGGCATCGCCTCAGTTTCTTACAAAAATTCATAATAATATTAATAATAATATACTCGACGTTGTCGGGCTGGGGCGCGGCCCGGGAGTCCGTGTGGGGCAGGCAGGTGCCTACGAGGGGCAGGGGCGTGTGTTGGCCCCGGCCTGGGCGCGGTGCTGCAGGTCCAGGGGCTGTGGGGGCGGGGCGCCGGGTCGGGCCGAGTGCAGCACCAGGTTCTTGACACAGCCTGTGATGCCCGAGGAGAACCTGCCCCCGGTCAGCATGGTCACGTCGGGGGCTCCGCCTGCCAGGAGGTGAGAGGACAGGGCTTGTGGGCTCCAGCAGCCCAGGAGGCGAGGAAGGCCGGGTGAGCTCCAGCCCCAAGGGAGTGCTGTTCCTGCCCTTGCCCTGAGAAGGAGCCCCAGACTTACCGATGTAGACGCTGCCCTTGGCGTTGACTGCCACGTTGGGACCTGGGGACCGGCCGCTGACCAACTCCTCACCGTCGACCTGGATGGAACCTCTGCGGCCCTCCCTGCAATGGACCTGGGTCAGGCCCCTTCCCACAGACTCCCCGGTCCTCCCCAGCGCCACGACAGAGTCCCCTCCCTCTGGTACCGAGATTCCAGACTCAGAAGTCTGTCCCTGTTCCCCAAGCTCTCTCTCCCCCGCTGAACAAGAGATCGGCCCCACGAAGGCAGCTTCCTCGTTTCTGCGCCCAGGTTTCCTCCTGCCCCGAGGGTGCTCGCTTGCCCCCAGCCGCGTGCAGTCCAAGATGGAAGCTTGAGCCCTGGCTGGTGGGTTCTCCCCTCCCCTGGCTTTAAGTTCTGTCTCCACAGAGCTTAATGCCTGCCTCTCTGCCCATCGTGGGGGGCATCCTGCCCCACTCCAGAACACTGGGCCCCGTCCCGAGTGCCCGGCAGGGTCCCTTACCGCAGCGCTGTCACTCGGTGCCACTCGCCGTCATTGATGGGGTCCTCAGAGACCAGGCGGGCCTCCCCACTACCCAGCTGGTACCTGTAGTCATCCAGGCCCAAGAAGTGTGAGCTGGGGCAGGATGGGGGGGTGGGGTGCTGGGACCAGGGAAGGGAGAGGAAGGGCCAGGTGCCAGGACCCACCTGAAGACAAGGTGCCCATCTTGAAGCCCGAGACTGATGAAGTCCTTGCCTCGGCCGGCCTCTCCCACCTCCTGCCAGGGAAGCACAGGGTCTCTGGGGTCCCCAGCCTGGAGAGCGGAGGCTGCCGAGGCCAGGAGGCTGCCGAGGCCAGGAGGCTCCGCTTTTCCCTCTCCCCACCACTCTGGCCACCAGGAAGCCAGCTTCCTGCCCCAGGAGCCCCAGGAGTCTGGCCGGATGCCCACACTCACCACACCCTGCCAGAGCAGGAGGCCATTGGCCGTGCTGGTCCGAACCTCCAGCTCGATGGTCTCGGGCACCTCGGGCAGGCTGCGGAGGAAGAGTGGGTGAGGGGACAGAAGTCCCAGATTCCCCTCCTCCCCATTAGGCCCACGGGCTCTCCCAACGCCAGTCTCACCTCCTGGAGAAGATACGGCCAGGGAAGGCAAGGAAGCCATCATCGTGGAAATAAGCTCCGTACTGCCCAGGGGCATCTGCAAGAGAGAGGGGGATGGTGCCACACCTGCCACATCAGGCATCAATCCCCACCTCCACGCCAACATGCAGGACTAGGGGGCTCTGAGCCTGCAGTCCCTGGGGACCCAAGGGAGTTGTCAACAGAATTCAGGGAGCCTGTGACCTTGGATGGGAAAGCATTACACCTCAATTTCACTCACTTCTCACTGAAATTGAGCAGTTCTTTCAATGAGATGTAGGCAAGAAACCAAAGTAGTAGTGGTAGGACCTGCAACTTTGTTACTAGTATTTGCTTATCACATTACAGTAGCTGCAAATATTTCAAAATATCATTTACACATATTGCTGCTTTGAAACTGTGGTAGCTACTGAGACCACCCGATCTTGTTATTTGATGTATTAATAAAGAAGCACACATAGAGCAAGTCAGAAAACTTAAAAAATGTTTTGATTACTTTACTTCAGCATAATTACTTTCCTTAAATCAATGCATTTTATTTTATTTTGTGCAGTCAACAGGATCCATGTCGGGTGACGCGCCATTCTACTTGCCAAGTTCTGTCTGGCTTTAGCCCTGAAAGTCCTACATCCCAAGAAACCCCTCAGTCTGGAGCTTCTGGGATGGTTGGTCACCTTGGACCATGGCAATAAATGATTCAGAGCCTTGATGTTCTCTCCATCTTACAGATGGGCAGGCAGGCTCAGGCGAGTGACTGGCCCAGGATGTGGGGGGAACTAAGATTGCAACCTGGACCTTTTAGCCTTGATGTCCATACTGTGTGTGGCTTTACCACCCCCAGCCCTATCTGCTCACGACCCATCCTACAGGCTGGCACTGGCCATAGTAGCTCTGGCAGGGGGCAAGAGTAGGGGACCCTCTGCTACCCTCTGCCAAATGATGAGGAGAACGGCTGACATTTACCAAGCACCTACGATGTGCCTGTGCAGGGAGTGTCCCATCCAGCCACAGACACCATTGCATTTAACTCAATCCTTACGACAACCCTATGAATGAAGATTATAGATAGATATGTCTTATTTTATTTATTGTTTTGAGATGAAGTCTTGCTCCGTGGCCCAGGCTGGAGTGCAGTGGCACAATCTTGGTTCACTACAACCTCCACCTCCCAGGTTCAAGCAATTCTTCTGCCTTGGCCTCCCAAGTAGCTGGGACTACAGGTTCACACCACCACGCCCAGCTAATTTTTGTACTTTTAGTAGAGACGGTGTTTCGCCATGTTGGCCAGGCTGGTCTCGAACTCCTGATCTCAGGTGATCCACCCACCTTGGCTTCCCAAAGTGTTGGGATGACAGGTGTGAGCCACCGCGCCCAGTCTTATTTTTTATTTTTTTGAGACAGGGTCTTGGTCTGTTGCCCAGGCTGGAGTGCAGTGACACAATCTTAGCTCACTACAGCCTCGACCTCCTGGGCTCAAGTGATCCTTCTGCCTCGGCTGGGACCACAGCCATGTGCACCACACCCAGCTAATTCTTAAATTTTTTGTTGAGATGAGGTCTCCCTGTGTTGCCCAGGTTGATCTTGAACTCCTGGGTTCAAGTGATCCTCCTGCCTGTCTCTCGAGTAGCTGGGACCATAGATGAGCACCACCATGCCCAGCTACTTTTTGTATTTTTTTGTAGAGACAGGATTTCGCCATGTTGCCCAGGCTGGTATAGAACTCCTGGGCTCAAGCAATCTGCCCGCCACAGCCTCCCAAACTGCTGGGATTATAGGCGTCAGTCACCACGCCCAGCTGAATATAGTATTTTTATTTATTTTTTTTTTTGAAAGGGAGTTTCACTCTTGTTGCCCAGGCTGGAGTGCAATGGCGCGACCTCAGCTCACTGCAACCTCCACCTCCCAGGTTCAAGCAATTCTCCTGCCTCAGCCTCTGGAGTAGCTGGGATTACAGGCATGTGCCACCACGCCCAGCTAATTTTGTATTTTTAGTAGAGATGGGGTTTCTCCATGTTGGTCAGGCTGGTGTCAAATTCCCGACCTCAGGTGATCTGCCCGCTTCAGCATCCCAAAGTGCTGGGATTACAGGCGTGAGCCACCACGCCCAGCCAGCTGAATATAATATTAACAACAGCTAACATTCTGTACTGACTCTGTACCAGACATTGTTCTAGGCATTTAAAGAGGACTAAGTGGCCAGGTGCGGTGGCTTATGCCCGTATTTCCAGCACTTTAGGAGGATGAGGGGGGCAGATCACCTGAGGTCAGGAGTTAGAGACCGGCCTGGCCAACATGGTGAAACCCCATCTCTACAAAAAATACAAAAATTAGCTGGGTGTGGTGGCAGGCACCTGTAATCCCAGCTGCTTAGGAAGCTGAGGCAGCAGAATCACTTAAATCTGGGAGGCGGAGATTGCAGTGAGCCGAGATTGTGCTACTGCACTCTGGCCTGGGTGACAGAGCAAGACTCCACCTTAAAAAAAAATGCACTAAGTAATTTTACTCTCACATAAAAGTTTATCCAGATCATTAGGGAAAGATGTTACTCATCTCCATTTTATATGAGGCACAGAGAGGTTAAGTGACTCACCTGAAGTTCCACAGCTAGTAAGTGGGAGAGCTAGGATTTGAACCCAAGCAGGATGGCTCCAAGTCTATACTCTTAACCACTATACCACTGCCTGGCCTATGATATTAGTGATATGTAAGAAGGGATGTGTCTGTAAAGGGCTTAGCACAGTGCCCGTAAACATTCAATCAGCATTCACTCTTGACTGTTTCCTTAGCTTTTCAGCAGACGGTGGAATTCTTGGGAAGGAGGGTCTTGCTTTATGCTTCTTTTATTTTATTTTATTTTTTTTGAGACGGAGTCTCGCTCTGTCGCCTAGGCTGGAGTGCAGTGGCGCGATCATGGCTCACTGCAAGCTCCGCCTCCTGGCTTCACACCATTCTCCTGCCTCAGCCTCTGAGTAGCTGGGACTATGGGCACCTGCCACTGCGCCTGGCTAACTTTTTGTGTTTTTAGTAGAGACAGGTTT